ATTCTTGCTGCTGCTATTGCAATCATTTTTTTTTAATAAATGGATTGGATTATTTTTTAAATTTCTGTGCCATTTAGTAATATGAGAATTGCCAGTATTTAGATTTGGATATGAAGGGACCTGAAGATATGCAATAATATAATAGAACAACTATTTTTATTGGTGCAGGAAATTTTTAAAAGCTTTACGCCTAAAATAAAATAGAACTAGAATAATAAGGAATCTATGCCATAATCAATTCTGATTAATAAGATTTCTAAGTTATGCAATTATAAATGATTGGATATCCAAAAGAGATAGCATTGAACATTCACGGGATTTACCTTAGGAAATAAAACAACAGAGATTTTTTTTTTTAATCAATCATGCATACAAATATGGTGGTGAAAGGATGGAAATATTTCAAATATCAGAACAATTAGATCTAACATATTAATATTCTATTTTAGTTGAACAAAATATAATGAAATTTTGAATGATTTGATTGTTATTGATAACAATAGATTATTAACAACTATGTCTTTGCCATTGTCTGACCCTATTGAAGGTAGATCTTCAATGTCAATTTGGAATTTTGCTTAAACTTTATTTATATTTTTAGCTAGATTGAAATAAACCTATGTTATAGATTGCAGATTTGAAACTACTCAAGTATTGATATATCCATAATGCAAATCCCTATAACAAACATCAGGAATTATGTTAAATGGCATAACATGGAACAGACTTAACACAATTTGGGTTGCAGACTCTGCTTAAAAAGTGTTTACTGAATACTTAATTAAAAACGACACTTAAGAATTTTCACGATTCTTAAACACAAAAACTCGGATAGATAATGTAGAATTCCAAGAAGATATTAATACGATCATTTTTGGTTAAGGATTACAATTATCTGGTTTTTTTTCATTATTATCATATATGAAATCAATAGATTCATATAGAGATACATATTTTTGAAAATTGGGGAGCATTAAGTTAATTTAATTTGACATCAAATTA